CTCATTCATCAATCTTTCCATGAGGCCCATCGTACGAATGAGCAGAGCAGCAGTTCTGCAACTTCTTCAGCATCTTGAGCCTTCCTTAGGGCCAGAGAGACCCCACCCCGGGCAGAGGGAAAATCACTAAGTGAAATGAGCTTGAAAACTCGGGGGCAACCAGCAGACACCTGCTTTCCATAGGAATGTTCAAATGAAAAGGAAGGAATGATGCTTCCTGGTTTTAAAGACGATGTTAAGCATACAAGTACAGCATGACACTGGTGAGTTCACGCTGTCAAGAATATACATTGCTCTCTGCAGAGTTTAATTTTGAAAGTGATAATGCAGGCTTCATCTCACAATTATCAGACATTTTTCATTGGTGTCCACCAGATGCAGAGTTGCAATATAATTTTTAAAAGCTGACTTTCAGCAGTGGTCTAACATAAATCAAAGCCACAAAATAAGACAGCCTGCAAAGTATCACCAGGCAACACAGAAGCAACAATGTACTCTGAAATACGCCATGAAATGCTGTTTGCAAGAATTAATTCAGGCTATGACTTCTATGAACAGTGAAGGTCACGACAGAAGTGTCAACACCATATATAATCCACGCAACTCTGCGGTTCAAAAATTGTACTCAGATCCATGAGTATGCTTTGCCCTGGATAAATAGCGAGGGCTATCTACACCCACAGTAATGCTGCCAGATCCCAAAGGCTTTGGGAAATCAGCACTGAGTTGTAGGGAATGATTACAGGGAAAGTTGAACGAGTCTACAAGTAGTCAAAAGAAAGAGGAATTAAACAGAGTAGTGACCTTGGCGAAACACAAGAGGGAAGCTGCCCTGTCTGCACAAGTACTTGCCTCTAGTCTTTAGTAATAAGACCTTAGTAATCAATACTAATGTGATCAGACATCCAATATTTTTCAATTTTACCCCTTAAATAAGTTTGCCATACTGTAGCCCTGCAGTTGCACAGTTACTGCGTGGACAGGAGGAAAGGGTCAGTGTTTTTCACAGAGAGCAGGCAGGGATACAGCAGCAGCAAGGACTAAGACTCTTAAAACTGCTGACAAATACAGAGCAGTAGTTGATGCCTCTGGTAGCCAAATCCTCAGATGAAACCTACCCCCAAAATTCCGTTATGAGAAAGTTGGGTTGCAGGTTTCATTTCTTTCAATCTTATGCTTCTCAACCCAAGCTTCCCTACTTGTTTCCATTTCGTGACCAACCATGTCAAGGCTGAAGGTCTGACAGCAGCTGTATTTCTGTCAGGTGCAATGGCAAGCAGGACACACAACAGAAAGACTGAATATATAATATGGTCAGTACAGACAAGCCTATGCTAGTTAAGGAGAGTTGATGACATTTTTTTAAATTAATTTTCAGTTTAAACACATTAAGTTAATCCAGTTAAGGCCTGGAGTCCTTCAATTTTGCTTCACTGCTTTCTTCTACAACAGAAGGCTCCGTCACGTAACATCTCCCTTCTCTACTATTTCCCTTCCCAGACACACATTCTAGTCTTGATATGATAAACCAATGCATAGTTAAAACTTAATTTATACACCTACACTTGTTATACCCACTAGGTGTAAAATATGACTTCAAGTTATAAGAAATGGGTAGAAAAACTAAACTAAAACAAATAAATGAAACCATTTCATTCAGTATCTCAAGTGTAAGAGAGCAGGAATTTAAAACTCCAATGCCAAAAGGTGTCTTACTGCTGAACAGAACACATGAAAAAGTAATTTATCAACCTGTTATGAAATTCTGTGGTAACCTGCTTCCAAGTTCAGTGTATTTTCCTGAAGGAGCTGTAAAACACAAGGTAGTTTTCATAACCTGGATTGGTTTATTTTTACGCATTCAGGTGGGATATTCAATCAACACATTCAGTCTAAAGGACTGCTTTGACTATTATAAACTTCTTATGTGCTAATTTACAATATTCAATACTGCAAAACATTTCAGACAAGGACAGATTTTTATCCAGCTAACTTCCTAGTAAAATTACATAAAAATCACTAAATCTGAATCTATATTTTCATAAAGTTCTGCAAAAGATTTTAATAATGCACTCTCTTTCCCCTGTGTTTCACTGATATAACCACAGAGAAAATTGAATTATAACATGTAGATTTCATTAGGAATACAGTACTAACATTCTTAACTACGGGTATTCTCATCCCTCACGACTAAGGCAGATGCATCCAATTAATGATGAATCATTCCACATAAATTTCCTGTTTAGAACATACTGGCAATACCAGCATAACAACCTACAGAGCTCAGAACAGGGGAGAGAAACTCACCTGATTACACATCACCCCCATTTTTGTTTATAGACCAAAAAAGGTGGGTTTTGTTCACTTTAGATTCCTAGATTCACTATCATGATGCTATTTCAAAGCAACTGCACTGGTGTATGCAGATACAAGATGTACATGTTACACGTTGTATACAACGTGCAAGTAGAGATCACTACCAGAATTAAGTGAAATTTGGTTTGCTGTGATCCTAAGTATTACTCAGCATATTTGTAATGTAAACATGCAGGAAGGAAATTGAGGGTATTTTCATTGCTAAGCACTTAAGGGCATTTCAGAAGAGCTGTTCTTCAGTATCATTTTACTCACTCAAAGTTGGGCCACAATTCCACAGAAGGTGCTGAAAAAGACAGGAACGGATTTTGACAAACAGCCTGGTTCTGGTTCTCCACTCTTTATCTCCAGAACAACTGAAGTGCCACCCAGTGTCAAAGTAAAACTAAGTCAGAAGAATACCTGCCTCATCCTCAATGAGAATTTTGGTCAAGTCCACTTTCTGAAGCAGAGCCCATTCTCATTCTACCTCCTCTTTCATTGATTCACTTTTGCCTTCCCTGAAGGAGGTTGATTTTCCCTTTCAGGAACTGTCATCTCTTCTGCAGGAGCCCATTGCCCACACACTGTGGATCAGGGTATAATGGCCTATTTTCTGATTCTCCTAGGGAGGCCTGTGGGGCTCCAAACTCTGAAAGTTCATAGACATTTCAATGGTGCTTCCATTATTCCTCAAACGCTCTCCTCTGGAAGCTCTGTACTTGAAGACTGAACACCATGAAGGAAACTCATCACAGCCCTCTCTTTCTTTTTAAAATAATGATTGGTAAAAGGGAACAACTTTTTCATACATTCAGATGTGAACTTTACATTTCAGTGGTCATATCTGAAGTTTTATTTGGTTGTTTGGGGTTCCTTATTGGTGGGTTTTTTTCTTTTTAAACAATAGGAAACATTTTTGGTGCCATAGTCACAAGAAAGGTTCCCCACAGAAGGTAATAAAATCCAATATACCACTAAATATAGTCTTTTATTTTAAAACAACTGATGATGTCACAAAGATTTTTTTAAAAATCTCATCTTGAAAATTACTGAATTACCCTCTGAACAGTTGAGTATAAACTTCCACACTATGTGGCCACTGTTTAAATGGTGCACTGAAAATATTTCACTTCCCTTTAATGTGCATCATTTTTCATATATTTTGACTTCAGCTTTCAGAGTTAGTACATAGTGACAGGAATCATAGATGTGTTTTTAAAGGTATGCAAGAGCACAGCCCGATTTGATTTGTGAGAATGGAAAATACCTATGAGGAAAGACTAGTTTTTGGCTATTACCTTCTTTCTAGTCTTATGGGGGAATTTTCTGTACAAGCTCATTGTTTTCAATCAGGCACTGTAAAGTGTACACTCAAATGAAATACTTTCCAGTGCAGGGGGCAAGCTGCTGTTCCTCCAGCCTGGTTCACTAATGGTTAAGATTTTAAGGCTTTTAACCTTTAACAGAGAATTGCTTTGAATTTTATTATAAGCTTCTTCTCATTAACCATTTTGACTGCTGAGCTTTTAAAGAACACAACCAGAAACATTCCAGACGACATAATAAATAAAGCCAACACAATAGAGGTAACTAAGGCTTTCAGAAGTTTGTAAGGACTCCAGGAGATGAGCAGTTGATTTCTCCAAGCTGAGCAGAGAAGCATGAACTGAACTTCAGCTTGCAACAAACTGGGGAGACACCTAAGAAAGAGCACGTCCTATTTGAATTTTACTTAATACTGGGATTGACAAAGTGTTTCAAGAGCAAAGAAGCAGATCCTGTATCAGAGGAAAGCTTCAAATCTGAAGTGATCTGGTGGCACCATTTATTTTAAGTTATGACAATTATAGAGGTCTACACATGCCAGAATGTCGTTTCTATTTTAAAGCACTATAAACAGTCTATTGTAATGGAGTGGAACAAAATTCCATTGATTCTTTAGAAAATAAATTCAAGAAAACTCTTTGAAAAAACAAGTAGAAAGCTTGCTATTAGCTCTAGTGATAAACATATTAGTTTTCACTCTATGCAAAGGAAATGGAACAATATTAAGGTGAATGAATTTACGTGTAGATCAAAAAATGAAGGATTATGCTGCCAGGGAGTGAAGGATTATCATCACTTACCTCCCTCATCCAGAAGCTTCCCACTCAGGGGCTGGGATGTATCTGAAGAGAGTAACATGTAATGGAAATTTGTAGCATTAAATTAACTGCAGCTGACTGGAAGCACCTGATGGAGAAGAGGTGAGAATACCTGCTGGTTTAGAAGTGTGAACAGGATAATCCCCAAATCTGACTTTCTGGTCTTCTGCCCTGACATTAACTATTACGGTTAAAATTTGTCTGAACACTGGAAAAAATACTATAATAGTCAGTTACAATAAGCTACTGGGGAGTAGTTTTTCAGACCAATAAAAAGAAGAAAAGGCTCGAGTTATGGTTTTTAACTGAAACTATAGCCTCATGACACCAGTAATCAAATAACCAGGCAATACACTTAGCATCAAAAGGAGATACGAGTTTTCATTGATCAGTACAGCAACACAGTCAAAAAACCCAAAACAAACAAAAGCACACCTATCATCTCCTCAGTAGACTACTGAAATGCATAAATCAAGGCTACAGAAAACAAAATCTTACCTAGTAAGAGTGTACTCCCTGAGTCCTGAATGCAGGTTCATGGCGGAAAAAGTACCTATGCATCCACGCAATCGTTTATCTCGACCGATCTTCCACGTTACAAAGAGCGGGCTGTTTTAGGGAAGAAAAAACAAAAAAGACATGATCACAGAAGCAATATTGACGGTGTGACATTTCAGCAACAGTGCCCTTCCACTTTGGTCAATGAGGGGCCACATCTCTAAAGTAACTGTGTCTGAGCAGGCCATAGCATTTAGAAATGTCCTTTGCAATTCTTTTGCCTGTTCTAGAAACATTACTCATGTGATATAACAGAAAATAAATGCTTGGTGTTCCTCACTATTCCCTATTAGCCTTCTTCTGTGATTGGGAAAAGACATTTGTACATAAGGAAGCCTTTACAGAAGGGAAAAATATCTCTGCCGCACTGACCACCCCTCTACCTGAACACAAATCCTTTTGTCCTTAACACTGCTGCCAAGAAACTACCAGAAGTCCTTGGGGCACAAGAAAAATGGAGGAACACAATCCAAATTTAAAGAACTGCCAGAGGAAAGGGTATTTTCTCCACGAATCCCAAGTCAGTATACAAGAAACTAAAAAACTGCCAGGAGTGGAGCAAAATCTCTACTAAGTTGATCACATCTCAATTACATGAGTGTGGCAGTTAAAGGAATACTTCTATCAAACAACTCTGTACCAATCTATACATTAAGTAAGTTAACGAGAAGGAGACAAACCATACAACTTTCTGGGACCAAAGCTTCTCTTGCAGTTCCAGCACGCTGCATCAATGCACAAGCACCAGAACGCTACACAAACTTGAATTTCTCAAGGGAGGGTACAGGACTCCTGGATACCAAGTCCTCTGACAAAGGGGAACACTTCATGGAAAGTCTCAGGCCATGCAGGCAGAAATACAGATCATTCTTGATACGAGGACTACAGCCATGCTGCACTACAGCTGACAGAAGCAAGGTTCAGCTCTGACACTCAGAGGACCTGCGACCACCCCACACCGAGTTACGGATGCACAGCTGATTTCTCTCCAAAGCTATTTGCTCAGGCACCGTATATACACACATATATACAAACTATCATACTGAATGCATCTTGGTTTCCTTTATAGTTGTTTCCTACATGGTGTTCTTACTATATAGTCCAAAGTCATTGCTCCAAAGATGAAGTCTAACACAAGGCACCCTACCTCAGGCTACCTGAGAAGCAGATGACAAAGTAAACACAATTACCACATGTGCCTTTAAGGACAGGAGCAGGTCCAGAAGCACAAATACACTCAAAAATTCACAAAAAGTCAAGTTAGCTGTATCAAAAAATAAAGAATCTTCTTCTGTTACTACTGTCAGCTGTAAATAATGAGCACGTTTACAACAGCGCACTGCAAGTTTCACAGTGCTGCACTGCCAAACAACCTCTGATAACTACGTCTTGTCTGACTGCACCTGAAGGATCAGTAAAAACACGATCTGGGATTTTCTCTGTATCTGTAAACAGAACCTCCCTCTCTAGCTATGTCAAGATTCTGAAAATAGCAAGGTTAGTGTATTATATTAAACTGGACAAGTTTCCTTCTTTCAATGATGAAGAATAGAAGAGGAAGCTGAGGTCATCTATTTCTTTTGGATTTAGATTTCCTTTCTTTCTTGTCCCTGCCCCTGCCTCCCCTCCTTTTTTGTTTTTAAAGTTATTTGATAAACTGAAGAGCATTAAGTCAGAAGGGACTATTACCTAACACTTAGTAGAAAGCAGGTTATTACGCTATTCTCCACTCAGACCAACAAGTGGCATTTCAATAACATATTCAAGAGAGGTATCCCAGTTCCCCTAAACGGTATCAACAAAACTATTAGATTGCAAAGGCACTGAAACATTCTCCCCCCTCACAAAAACAAGCGTGAATAAGATTCAAAATAGACTTTAGGATTATTCTCTTGACCTTTATCTTTGGATTATGAGATTTATTAGCTGTAATACACTTAGTGGAGGTCTATAATTCAGGGAAACATACGCATTTACTTTCTTGTCAAAATGAAATTCTTTCTAGGATGCATCGCTACCTCTGCTTTAAAAGCACAACAGAAGAAAACATCTAGAGACATTCACTGAATGTCAAACAGATTACTGAACCATCGGCGTATGCTTTGAAGGCCTTTGCCAATGAATACTAACAGGAAAAGTAAAGGTTATATACATATATTTTTGTAGTGGTGGGAGTAGTAGTATAAACATACCAATGGGACTAAATTTAAACCCCTATCCACTGGGGAAGTGAGCCACCACCAGTAGCTAGGCATGGCATGCTATATATACATCACCAAATGTGACTAAAAATGCTTTTCCACTCTTTGAAATCCTGTATTCCCCCACACTTGCCTCCTTGCTTCCCAGGAGCCACTAAAGGTACCAGCACATCTACACAGAAGATATAACCCCACCAAACAGAATTACTCTTCTTAATTACCATCACAGATGTCTGCAAAGTGCAATATGGAACAGAGCAGTCAGTAACCCAAGAGGATTCTAACTCAAGCTTCAAGAAATAAGGCTGAAAGGGACCTTCAGGGCTCCTGCTATCATAAGGAATAATTGTATTATATAAGTCTGTTCATAAATTATCCATATTCTCCATCTTAAGAGTTACTAGAAATAATGGGAACAAAACCCACAAAATGAAAAATAAGGTTGCCTCAAAAACCTCCCTGAAGTCCAGAACCTCTGGAAACATTCCCGTTTCCTGCCAAAATGCTTTCCCAGTCAGCTTGGACCTAGCAATTCTTGTGCCAACATTGTCCTCCGTTTAAATAGTTCTCTACCCTTCCTGGTCATTATTTGCCAAAGTATTTATAGAAGGAATTCATATGCCTCTTCAGCCTTCAATTTGCTGAGCTCAATGGGTTGGGTTCATTCAGTTTCCTCTCAAAAGGGATCTTTCCATTCTGACCACCACAGCTTTTCCCCACACCTTTTTCCAGTTTCAACTTGCCTTCTTGAACATCAGTGTCCAGAACTGCACACAGAATTATACCTGATTAATGCCTCCCTCTCTGAACCAGAAACACTGACCGCTGCACTTGAGGATCAAGTCTCACAGCCTAATATAAAGTCCAAGTCTGCCATTCAAAACTTTACAGAGCATTTCTAGTCTTATATTAAAGAAAGACAACAAAAAACCTGCTCGTAGAACGTAGGCAAGCTATGCACAGAAAAGCATTTGTTTCTTTCTAGTGATGTACTTTTGCCTTTTATTGACATCCAAACTTCAATGCTTTTTTTGTGTTTTAAAGCCAGTGATAACCCAACAAATAAACTTCCCATCTAACATAGCCTCGGATCTCAGATTTGTAGTTAAGTGCAAAACACCACAGGTATCAACGTCAAGAACAGCTAAGTAAATACATACATCTTCAACCTGAAAAAACCTCCTTCTTTTCATGCTGTCTGACATCCCCTGCTGACAGCGTTAGCAACAGGAGCGATGCAGAGCACCCCGAACTCACAGTAGCTGGGTACTGGTGGAAGATGTTTAAAACTGTACAGAAGCAGAAGGGAACAAATCTAGATCCTTCGAAGCATCTGTACATACCTTCATCATTCTTCTTTCGTAAGGGTCTGTATTTTGTGATTTTTTTTTGTGAGCCAGACACCGAAAAAACCACTTCCATCTAAAGCTATTTACGGGTGTCACAGCAAAATTACAAGCGACTTTAGGACTATAAAACTCCCATCCAGCCATTGCCTAATTTACTATTTATTGAAAACTCTTGCCCACCTCTAATCTAAATGACAGGCAACTCTTTCAGTTACCTGCCACAGAGGTTGTCAAGCACTACTCTATGAAAACCACATGAACATATATCTTGTTTTTCCCTACTTTCTGTTGCAAAACTGAACTAAAGAGACAGTTGCAACACAGTAAGACTAAACTAATTAAATAATATTACTTCCTTGTATACTATTGCTGTTATCAAAAGGAGCATATATACAGTTTGTCTCCTTGACAGGTCACTGAAAGATACGCATGTATCCAACACCCTAAACACTGACCTTAAAGGCTGGCCAGAAAACATGTGGCCAATGCACAGGAGTGTGGGTCACCCGATGAGAGCTCTGCCCCATGTGTCACTCCAGCTACAATTACACTATTTTCATTAATGAAGGAATTAGGACAGCCCTGGCCTTCACCTGAGCATTCATCTGTTACAACTGCTGGAGAACCAGAGTGCTTCACATGAAGTTCACAAGGTATAAACCTACATTAACACTGAAAGAATATATCAAAATAGACACTTACACACCATGCTTACCAGTGCCCTAAGCATATTTCCTATTAATGTTTTACAGTCAAAATCACCTGAAACAATTATTGCTTGCTGTACATTACCAAAATTATATAGACTGAAAGCAAAAATGTGTGAGCTGTTTTAGTAATCGGTCAGCATGCCAATAACTTACACTGACATCATCCAGAAAGCACTGTTAAAAAATATCCTTTTTTAATATAAAGAAGCACTCTTTACCAGCTGCCTTTTATTTACCAGTGCATTTAATAAAAGAGTGGAGGGACTCTTTAAGTTAGGGTGTGGGGAAGAAAGCAAGACGTGTGAGTACGTGGGTCTTTTTCTGGTACCATCAGAAGCAGCGTGAAAAGTTTCTCTTCCTGTTACAGCCAGAGAGGAAAACAAAGGAGAGGAAGGTGGGAAGAGCAGGGGAAAGGAAAGGTAACAACAGATCAAGACTATTACTCTACTTTTATAGAAGATAAGTGAGAACTTTTTTGGTTTCACTTGAAGACTTCCAAGTAATACAAAAACTTACAGGGCTCTGAAGTGAAATGGATGAAACTTGATGAACCGAGAGGTAAAACGATATTTAGACAGACATTTTAATTCCAAGCTACAACGTGCCCAGAAAGTGCCCTAAACAAGCAAAGCTGCAATGGCAGTGCTTTCCTTTCTGTGTCACACAAGTGAACAAACTATTGTTCTTCAATTCTAGAAAGTTTAACATTTCTACTTTTCAACCAAAAGCCTACTCTATCTTATTTGGGATCATGCTACGCCTTCAAATGATGCTAAACCTTCACGTAATGC